TTCAGTGCAGAAAGGAACAAATGGGGAGATGAGGGGCAATGTGGGACAGCGAGAGAATGAGTGAGAGAGAAAGAAAAGATAAAAGAAATAATTTCAAGAGATTAATATTCATAAGGTGACATTCTCTTTTCTCTGGAAAATGAGAGTACTTTGAACAGCCATGTTGGAGGAGTCATGTTACACAAAGGGCCAAAACAAAAAGCAATATGAAGTGTTGGGGCAGAGAAATACATGACAGAGAAATATAAGTATAAGTGAGAATATTGGCACCTTGTTTTCTCTGCTCTGTCTCCTAATCTTTGTCTAACTGCCTGGTTCTCTCTCTCTCTCTCTCTCTCTCTCTCTCTCTCTCTCTCTCTCTCTCTCCTCTTCTTACATTATTCCTTCTGCCCTACATGAAGGCTTCTCTCCTAACAGTTTATATATGAAGTCTCACAAATAATCATTTCTAAGTTCTCCATACTCTGAAAAGAATGAACATTTTGATTCTTTCATTCTCTAAGCAGAAATTTCTAGGAATTTTACTAGTTTCTGGACTGACTGGATTGGAAATGCTAAATATTGGGAAGTTGCTTGTTTGTGTAAAACCATAGAGAGAAAGCTCATAACCACAAGCCTTTGGCACACATTACTCAATTCAATTTACCAGGGACATGGCAGGGATAGGGATATTGATATCGTATGGGGAAATACTGCTCTGAAGAACCCAGGACCGATACGTTTTCTCATGGAGACTCTATTTGTAGACTAGAGATCATAGTTAAGTGCTTAATTAAAAAGCTGAGAAGATACAAGGGAATAAACTTCAGAGGGTTTTCAGAGAAAGATTCTTTAGAAACTCCTGTAGTACCAGCTACTAAGTTTACAATACTGTAACCCAAAGTTCTGATCTCGGCGGTTGCCTTAACAGAGAATAGCTGGCTGGGCACTTTGACAGTTATTTCTTATGTCCTACCAGAGATAAGGATTTGCCATTGCTAGTAATCATAAATCACAAAAGGTCAGTCCAATAGAAGCAAGTATGAGAAATAAACCATGGGGTAGGTTTTATGAAGTCACCAAAATAAGTAAGGGATTTTTTTTTCTAATAAAGTAAGTTTAATCTTACCTGTGCATCAGTAAGCAAGTTGGTAGTGAGATATCTAAGTACAAATGATTCAGATAAGCAGCAAACCATAAGCATTCAATCATGCACAGCAGTGTATAACTCAACTCCAGGGTTTCACTTCTTGCTTTAAGAAGATCAGATTTCTTGAAAAAAATGTGAAAGCCAGATGTATCAATGGGAAAAAGTAAAGCCATGTGTGGGGACAGTTTTTAATAGTCACTTATTGTCTATGAGAATTTGCAAAACTTACTTAATTTTTTTGCAAAGTCTCACAGAAAATAAGTGATTTCAGAGAGACCCAGCCCATTCTGATTCCAGGTCCCAAAGCCCATGTTTCTTTCGGTTCTTCTTGTCTAGATGAACATTCTTGGCACCCAGTAAGGGGAAATGGAACCCCAGTGGGGCTGCCTGACAGATTAGTGAATGAAAGGGCTCTCACTGCTTGGTCACATGACAGAGCATATTAATTCTACTCTCCTACCTTTAAACTAACCCAATCCCCTGGAACAAACCCTCTCCATAGTGGGTGCTCGTTCACAGAGTCTCTGGAATTTGCCTGGGCAAACTCTATTTTCATCCTCTTTTTTGACATTTTTTTAGCATCTCATCTCCCTACCTTATACCTCCTTATCTTCCTGGCTTCTTCTGTCCACACCTCTCTGGTGTCTCCTCCATATGTTCCCTGGACCAGGATTCCATGATTTCAGAGTCTGCCTTTCTCCTATACCTGTGGTATCCGTGAGCCAGGCCTGCTCACCATAGGATCTCTGGTACAGGAAGAAAACAGTACTATATACATTGAAATATAGTCAGGACTACCTGTATTTGGACACTTTTCTTGAGTGTTCTTAATCCATTGCTTTGAAAGCTATCGAAAGAATTTATTTTAGTTTTGTAAATTAGTAAATTTAGTTTGTAACTTTTGTTATTTGATGAATTAATTTATCAAATTAATGCCTGCCTAGGAGCAGGGAAATAATGACTGAACAAAGTTTGACATAGATTTGCCTTTCCATTGGGTGTTCTTCTGCTTCCAGAAAGTAGTAGTGGATTTCCTCAAAGTCAGACCCTCGAGACAATGTGGCAGGGATATGAGACATGGAGAATCATTCTTTTGGAGTGGCTAGGGAGGGGTGGGTAGAACTTCCTACAGCCAAGTAGGGTCTAGATAGTCTTGGTTGGAATGAGGGCCTCTCGCTATTCTATCAAGAACCTCTTAGGCATTTCCTTGAAACAGGGCTTGCAGCTCACTTGTCTCTTAACTCATGCAGAAGGTATAGGCATGTTCCTTCCCTTATAAAGATGTCCTTGAAGCATATGCTGAGAATTAATAGTTTTGTTTTGTTGTTTGGTACTGGGGATCGAACTCGGGTGCTTGCGCTTGAGCAGCAGGCAGTGAAACCACTGAGCTAAATCCCCGGCCCAAGAATTAATAGTTCTTAAAGAAATGGCCCAATAACTTTTAGAAAAATGTCAAAATATAGTTACAATGATTAAACTTACCTTTTTTCTGAACACAGTTAGTATTTAGCATTTTGAAAGGAAAACTTGCAGTTTATATGAATTTTTGGTTCAAAAATTTAAAGTTCGTTTCAATTTGCTAACACATTAGTATGTACATTTTAATATTTTTCAGATTTCTAAGAAGTCTTTTAATCTTTCCTTTGCAATTTAACATTGACCACAAGTAAAATCAAGATAATTCAAGGTACAAAACATCTAATCTATTAGAGTATTTCCTCTAAACATCCTCAGTTCCTGTCCATTGAACAGTTTTATATACTGAAACTTTCTGCAAACTGCTGCCCATTCCTCAATTTCTGAGTTTCTTGTTAGAAACCAAAATGTCAACATTTCATCTCTGATAGGATCCTTGGCTAATTCTTGGTATATATCAGATGGTTTTAAAATTAAATTTTAAACTTTAACTTAATGAGAATTCAATTTAATTTTAATTGTAAATGAACCTTAATTAAAATTTGAATTTTGTTTTACATTTTAAATTAAATTAAAAATCACTTGCTAAAAATGTAAATTAAGGCTGACATGCGATTTGAGGAATTGATGAAATGCTAGCCAACTGTGCTTAGATTTTAAATTTTACAAAGAATAATTGCATCATAAATCATCTGGAAAAATCAAAAGTCACATACTGAATGCCAAATTTTTGATGGAAAAAGTACTTCATAATGGGCATATTCAGTGAATTTACTACAGTTATGATTTGAATAAAAATGTTCCCCAGATGTCTCAGATATTCAGAGGTGGGGCTTTTGGAACCTAAAGGGTGTTGGATGAACTATACTCATTAATCCACTGATAAGTTCATATTGAATGTGCTGTAAGGAGATGGGGTTAGGGGTCCAGCTGAAGGAGGTATGTCACTGGAGCTGTGCCTTTGGAGGGTTTTGTCTCTTTCTCTGGTCCTTCCATTCTCTCTCTCTGCCCCCTGGCAGCCATTGGTTGAGCAGCTTTTATCTCCCGTGCCCTTGTACCTTGCAGTTTCTGCCTCCGCACCAGTTGACCATGGACTGAAACCTCTGAATCTATGAGCCAAAATAAACCTTTTCTCTTTTAAATTTTTGTGTCATATACCTTGCTTTCACAACAAAAAAGTTGACTAATACAGCTGACATTTAAATATACTATTAGGGTTTTTTAAAACTAGGTAGCTAATCAAGCTTAGTTTGGCTAATATACAACAGAATATATTTGAATACGTGTCATCAAGCAAACATTATTAAGATCATTAAAAAGTAAAGCATGTAAATTTAGGTCACTCTGTAAACTAATTTTTTCAAGAACTGAATTTTAGTGAATCAGCCTGCCTCTTTTTA